AGGTACAAGAACAAACCTCCTGACTTCGCTTTTCTGGCATCCAAATATCCAGAATTTAAGCAGCACGTGCAAATTAACTTGTCAGGAAGAGTGAGGTAGGTCAGCATGCGCACTTGCTTATCTTTTCTCTTTATATGAATACCTATCAGTGAAGACAGTGTTTCACCGGATAAGAAAAGGTTTTCTGTAAGAGGATTCACAGTACCAATAAAGGAAAATATTTGTACCTCAGGATTGAAATGAAGGGTCTTTGATGCCCTCTGAGCTTGGTTGTTTTCTTGCAGACGTTTCATTACCCTAACTAGGTAACATCATCAATTCCAGACTAATGGGATAGGGTTCACAGTCTAAACTCTCACTCCTGAGAGGGGGAAGTAGAGAGGGAAAGAAAGAAAAAAATCTCTCCAGTTGTTCAGTTTAAAATACTGCAGATTATAATTTTTAACTGAAGAATTTAACATGGTATTGGACAAGGTGCTGTCAATATACATATGCATTACTAGGGCTGCAGGGTTTCATTAGTAGCCAAAATTAGAGGCCATTTTTATCTGGTGAGGCTATGGATTAGATGCACTAAGGATTAGATGTACTAATTGCCAAAAGGAATTGAAATTAGCATTTATTCTTTATAAGAACAGTGTAGATACAAAAATACAATTTCCATCTTATCGGGAAAGGGAAGAACCCCTTTAGAAGCCCCTAATTTGTTGCTCTTCAGATGTGTAGGATTATTGGAGTAGCGGTTCTAATTGTTCCAAAATCTTGATAAAGTTTGTTAGAATATTATAACAATTTTTATTTAGGGCTAAAAAGTTGAAATGGTCCAAACACAGTCTTTAAGCCTATTTTGACAAACCTGGAATATAAATAATTATGGTTTCTGTTGTAACATTAAGAAAAGGAACTGGAGAAGCATATAAGTCTCACTACTGTCTATTCCTTAACAAGGTAATGGGTCAAGTACCAAAGCAAATTGGCTACCTGAAGATCACATTAGCCCCCCCCCCAAAAAAAAAAATTTCTGAGAATGTGCCTTCAGAAATCAGTGAAGTAATTAATTTTGGCAATTTATTATTCCTAAATGCTCTCACAGCATATATTAAATAAACCTGTTTATGAACAGTGAAAAAATGAGTCAATGACAAACTTCTGTCAGGATTATTGCCTCTCTGGCAGCTTTAAGCAAGGTAGTTTGTTAATTGTATTATGGTTATTGACTAGTATTATGCATCAGAAAAAGTTTTCCTTATTGCTTCACTTCCAGGCAAGGTTTGGTTTCACTTGTTACACCTCTTGGTTGCAAAGCAGCTAAAATTGGTTTAGATACATTTGTACTTATGCACAATAGGTGCTTGGATGCACTGCCACCTTGGTGATCTTCAAGTCTCTTTACTATTAGTACCTCTACTGCCCATTTTTAGAGATTTCTATTTGATAGACAATGCTCATTCAGCCTTTCTTAAAAGTTATTTCTGCTGCACTGTCTGCCAGATAATTATCCATAATAAAAAGGAATCATGAATGTCCTTTTGATAGTATTCACAAGCTTATAGAATGTAGTGAGACTTTACTACCACTTTTTTCACATAGTGTGCACTTATCTTATGTCTGTTGAATGGGAAATAGTAGCCAGATTTATATATTAAGATGGTTAATTAAAATGATTTGACTCAAACACCTTATGAATCCAAATGAGTTCTGACAGGTGCTTGTTTTTTTCTTAGCTATCTTGTGGCAGTTCCAATGAGTGCAATGTTGAGCACTTTAGGTTGTCTCTCTCTATTTGTGGGCTAGAACCTAAATGGTTTATTCAGGGGACAAAGAAAGCTACCAGTGGTTATAATGCCTCTTTTTGAGAGGTAATGATTGCAGCAATTCTGAAAGAGAGTATGGTATACCATCTCCTAAGGGGTCCGTCGTGGATCCATCTACATTTGGCAACTATTACCCTCCCTACACTCATACTAGATAAATACTGCTTTATCTTTGATCTCCCATTTTGAGAATATGATTGTAAAACAACAGCAGATCACTCCATATATAGCAAATTATTTAAACCTGTTTTTATCTGTTTACTCATTCCACAGTTCTCTATTTGTTTCTTATATCTTCCAGTGTAAATTTCAAGGATCCACAAGCAGTGAGAGCCCTGACATGTACGCTGCTGAAAGAAGATTTTGGACTTCAGATTGATATACCTTTAGAAAGGCTTATTCCAACTGTTCCCTTGAGACTTAATTATATCCACTGGGTTGAAGATCTAATTGCTCAGCAAGATACTGCTACTAAAGGTTCTGTTACGTGGGGAATAGACATAGGTATGTTGTAGACTACATGGGATGTGATCATGCAGTCAACCAGGAATTAAGCTAACCTCAAAGTAACCTATTTTTTTACTTGCTGTTTATGTCCTAAAGAGTAGCAAAAAGATTCTCTTTTTCATGCAGAATTCATTTAGTAATTCATTGCTGCAATAGACTAATAGTGTGATTTCCTTGGAAAGGCATGAAAGTTAGTATGTTTTTCCTATTTTTCACTTTTATTTTTTTCCATATATTTTATTGATTTTTTAAAAACATAAATCACTTAATAGCTGGTAAACAGTGTGTTTTCTGGGTTTACATTTGTAAAGAAAAATAATTAACAATTGGTTTCTATAATCCATAAACCACATAGTACATTTAGTTGATTTCCCCCTTTCCCCAAAATGTCTTCTTTGCAAACCTTGAATTAATACAGTTCTTATTATTTTGATAAATAACAGTTACATATATGATTTTCCCAATATTCCTAGAAATAATGATCACATCAATATAATATTTCTTTTCTATTTAATCATTCTGGTTGCCTCATCTTATATCCTGTTACAGTCCTTATTTAGATTTGTTTCTCTCATAAAGTTCAAAGTATTCTTGCTGATTAAGATTTTCTCAACAGTTAATTACATTTAAAGATTTAAATCCATTTTTCCCATATAAATCATCTCAACACTTTTACATTTCTTAAAGAATAGGTAAAAACAGTAAACAAAAGGAAAAGAGAGCAAGAGTAAAGGAACATAAAAAGTAAAATACTACTTAAATATATTCATTCACAAAATTTCTTATTCTTTTTAACTATAATTAAAATATATTTAATCTTTAAATATTCCATTTAATGTGTTTAGTCATCTAATCCTTTAACTCTTATTCAAAACATTTTTTTCTTTTTTATACATTATAATTTCCCTGAATTCAAACACATTTAATTATCTAAAACAGTGGTTTTCAACCTGTGGGTCGGGACCCCATTTGGGGTCGATCGACCATTTCATGGGGGTCGCCAAGCAAGGCTGTCCGCCATTTTTTTGTCCACCATTTTTTTTGTCCGCCATTTTTTCCCCCCTTTTCCGGTGGGTGCCTTACCTCCCTTGGGCTGGTCCAGCTGGTGGTCGGCCTGCTCCGTCTCTGCCGCTTGCCAGCTACGCCTCGGCCGGCGCAGGGGGCGGAACCACGCATGCGGAACCACGCATGCGCGGCGCTCCCGGGCAGGGAAAGTCCTCGACTTACGACCGGTTGGGTAGTCCTCGACTTACGACCGGTTTAGTCCTCAACTTACGACTGGTTTAGTCCTCGACTTATGACCTGTTTAGTCCTTGACTTACGACCGGTTGGGGTCGCGGCATTAAAAAGGTTGAGAACCACTGATCTAAAACATTTCCTTCATTTAAGCCATTTCAACAGTATTATAGAACTTATATCAAGAAATAAAATAAAAGGGGGGAAAAGTATACAGTATTATTTAAGGAATTCATCCCTCTTAGAATGACATATGTATTCAGAATCTTTTCTATTTCTTTAACCATATTCAAACAAATATTTCTTTTTTATATATTCTCTCTGGTAGATCCCATCATCTATTTTCTTAATTTTCACTTTAATCTTTTTCCTTTGACCAGTATCTTTCTTGATCAATGTGTTTGCTGAATCAAAAAGTTTTTCCATATATTTATGACTGTTGCTGTAGATATAAGAAGTAAATCGAATAAAGTGTCTTTATATGAGGCTTTTGCCTTTCTATGTTTCTTGAAAATCTTTTTCTTTTTCTCCTTCTTTGCTTCTCTTATCACTTCTTTTCTCTCTGATGTTTTCAACATCTCTACATTCCATTTTATCCAATCTGTTTTTTTGTCCTCAGATTTATTTTGTAGTCTTTAAGGGATGAGTTGTTTTTTCCATTTCTTGTAAAAAAAAATCCCACTAGGATTAAATCATGTTTTCTTGCTTTGTTAAGTTCCGTCTTTGAGTCTCTGTTTTCAATTTTATGTCCACTTATTTGTTTTATCTGCTCCTTCTCTGTTGTTGTTTACTGGAAGTTTTTTTGTTGTAGAGTTAACTTAGAAATAGATCGATTTATATTTTCAAATTTATTTTGGATTTCTAAGTGATTTGAACTCAGTGTTATTTGAATTAATTGCAATATACTATATATCTCCTCCTGAGAGGTATTTATGTTTTCTTAGTATGTTCTGTCTACATGTCTCTGATCCATGATGGCCAAAAGTTGAAGTTTTCCTTCTTATCTGCAAATAGCTTTAGAGTCCTGTTTAAATAGATATTTGTAATCCAAAGAGTTCAAAAAAGATTTTTTTTCCCTAAAGTTTACAATTCTCTCTTTGTCTGCAGCCCAGATTGTTGTCTTTTTTTTGTCACAGCTATTCTTTGTTATTAGCTTTTCCCAGGTTTTGGCAAGTTCTCTATGGAAATCATAACTGTCATAATCTTCATCCACCACTAGGTGTCAGCATCTATTTAGTTTTCAATATGAACAATGGTCTTTAAAATGAGAGTCTTAACCATTCAACAATTTTAAACCTGTCTAAAGTTAAATTTTAGCTTTCAATTTTATAAATTTATTTCACTACCATATATTTTGATCCTCCATGGAAATTTTAATTCGCCATTTCTGTTAGTATAAGGGTGGTGCGGAAGTCCCCCTCCTTCACTTTCGGAGGTATTTTGCTTCTTGGGGATATTTTCCAGGAAATTAAGTGTAGAATAGAAAAGGGAGAATCGGATTCCTCACCCAGTTTCAAGCACGCTGTTTACTGTTGTGCTAATTAGTTCTTTTGGACTTCGGTTGCAAGTAGCTTGGGCTGATCGGTGAAATACAGCCTTTCTCCCGTTGGGTTAGAAGGCTTTCCCCAAGACGAACGGAAGGACCGCCGTCATTCCAGAGTTTCTGGGGCACCCTTCTTCGCCGCTTCTCCAGGGCAGCTTGGACCCATTAGGGTCTCCAGGCAGGACGAAAATTAGCTGCAGAGGTGTGGCGGTCAGCAAGCCCGCAACCAGTCACTACCCCACAGGACTGGAAGTCTCCTGTTTTTCACTTTTAATTAATCAGATTTCTCCTTGAATGTAATATAGGTACTGGTGCATCCTGTATTTACCCATTACTTGGTGCAACTTTGAATGGATGGTATTTTATTGCAACAGAAGTGGATGATGTGTGCTTCAGTTATGCCAAGAAAAACGTAGAGCAAAATAACTTATCTGATCTTATAAAAGGTAACACTTTGTTTCTCTTTTATAATGCCTAGGCAGAGTTCTTTATCTGCTGTTTAAAAACAAAATTATATATAAATTACATGATTTAGATTGGATTTTTACAGGGTTCTTTTTAAACTACTTTGTTAAAGATTAGTGGCAATGAATAGGAAATCAATTAACAAAACTTCTAGCTTTCCTTCCAGTCACTTCAGTCTATTAAGAACATATTATAATGACAAGAAGGTGTTAAAGGCTAATTATAATTTAATTTATTTGACTATATGAGTTTTCAGTGATCTCTTAATTGTTCTTCAGTTGTTGCACTGAAGTACCACTAGGTTTATAATAAAAATGTAGCTATTAAACTGAGAATCTAAGGTCTAGAGTGAGTTATATGCTTCACATGTTCTGAACGTGAAACTCAAAAAGGCTGTATAATATTTTAAAATCTTTTTACTAATATAAACTGTATAAATGTTTATTTTTCATTAGGAGCGATCTCTAATGTTTGAATGAAAGTCTGTCTGCTATTTACTTCTCTTTATTTTTCTTCTAGTGGTTAAAGTACCACAAAAAACATTACTCCTGGATGCCTTAGAAGAAGAGTCTGAAGTTATTTATGATTTCTGTATCTGCAACCCTCCATTTTTTGCCAACCAACTAGAAGCAAAGGTTTGTTTATTATGATTTTATCAATGAGTCTTTTCTTCATTTGATGAATATTGTTGAAAGGACATTTCATGTTTATAATTCTTGAAGATGAATGGTGATTTGATAATTGAAACTAAACATGTCCAGCTTTTTGTTTCTCATACTAGCAAAAAATATTTCTTTGAGATGCTTACAAATAGGAGATGTACAGTCTTTGTTTCTGGTGAATACCTACATTTTATTTCTTTGAGAACTATGAAAGTGTCTCACTTTTTTTCACTCTGCGACCTATATCGCTGTAGTTTCTTGGTGATTTCCTATCCCTGTTTATCTTTTTTGAAATCAACCAAGATCAGATAGCTGTTGCCACCTGCTGTGAAGCAAAATTAAACTCTTGTCTCAGTTGATTTTGGCTAACGTATAATTTTTTCGGTTCACAATGGACTTTAATTGAGAACTTATATTTTATATTTCCATTGAATATGTGTCAGTCTATTTCATCTTATCACCTTTGGTAATGAACATCTTTATCTCATGCATTTATTATTATTTGTAGAGCGCAATAATACCAGCATTATTACTTATATTTCATAAATATTTGTTTGCTGCCAAACTCTACAGAGGTTTCTTAGTGTGAATAGTTAAAAATATAATGGACTTTTCTCATAAATTCCCAATCCGGATGTTTTCTACATTATGGTATTTGAAATCAGACATTTGGAGGCCATAAAATTGGAAAAGACTGCCACTGAGTATTTTTTTTCTGAACAACTTTCTCCATTCTAAATACCAGCTTCACTTATGTATCTTGCATAATTATTTTAATAACTTTGATAATCTCTTTTGGCCTTTAATTAATGTATTTTTGTGAGTTAGCAAGAAAAGTTTGAAGAATTTGCTGAAATATGGACATAAAAAGCTGAATACTGTGATATAAAGACCCTTATTATCCAATTTATTTTTGTAATAGTTATTTACTGTTGTAATAGATTTTGGCCTCTTAAAGGAATGAAACAGAAACGTAGATATCAAGGAAGTATGTCTTGGACCATGGATATTATTAGATTACAATATGCGAGTTATTCAGGAGTGCATTCATGTTTTTACATAACAATCTTTCCTCTTTTCCGTTTTTTTGGAGGGGGAGATTAGAATTAAAACTAATGTTTAAAATTATGAACTACATATATGTCTTATTATAACTAGGCATGGTTTTTATTATTTTAATAAGAATTGTTAATTGTAATGTCCAATCATTGTAAAGTGAATCATTCAACTTGTTACAAGACAATATGCGCTGACCCCATAATTTCAAATCTAAGAAAATTCTATTAATCAAAGTTGTTACCAGCCAGTTTTACTTTTTTTAAAAAAAATAATCAAAACAATGTTGCATTTTTCCATTTTGCTTTTGTGAAATATCTATTTATTTATGCATGGTTGTGTGGGTGTGTATTTCCAATAATTATGACTTCTCATTATAGTAGTAGCAAATATTGCTAAAGTTCTATAACAAATTTATTACCACACTATAATAATTTTAGATTTTTTATTATATAAAAATATACTAATGAATTCTACCAGAATTAATTCAAGAGGGGAGTGTTGTCTGTAGTGCTTATATATGTAAATTGATAACAGTCAAAAGTATAAATCAAATGTTTCTAGCACATCTTCTGAAAAAGGGGCTCTCTGTTCTAGCAAAAATCTTTCCATCATAAAAAATAAAGAATTGTGAGACTAAAGCCATTATTAAATATATCTATTATATTAGCTACTACAAATTGTTCTACAGTTCTTCACTACTTTTTTAAAAATTGAGATAATTGTGTTCATCTTTGTTATTCTATCTGTTAGGCATTAGAATTGCAAATAGTAAATGATTCATTTTTAATTGTGAAATAGATAAGATTTTGATGCTCTTGTTTTTATTATTAAAGTAAAACACTATGATTCCTTACATGAATTTTATGTTTTCTTATTTAGAGTAAATCTACAAAAACGGTACATTAACTCTTTCTTATGTGCATTATAATACAAGTCCTGATACTACTATTGTAGTAGTGGAGAATACATGTAGCACAGGGTTGAGTGGTTAGGTTATTGATATCCTGGTTATTGGCACTAGAAAGTAATTAGAAAAGCCACCCAATTTTTTTAAAGAAAATATGAAAATATAAGTTACTAGAATCTATTGTTAATCATTTTACCAACAGGTGTTCTGTTTTATTTGACCATTATCCAATTGTTTATGATAAAGCGATTAATTTCATCTTTCCAATGAATGGCACATTTTAGTTTAAGCTATTCCCGTTTTTTATTTACTGGTTCCCGAAATTACTCCAGTTCTATTATCTTTAACTGCTTTATTTGCTTGTTTTGTTTTTTGAAGTAATATGGTAATGGCAGAAAAAATAGAATGTTAATCAAAGGAAAATAAGATATGACATAACTATCTCACAGGAAAAATCAATAATAGCTATTAGTTGATTATATTTTAGTTTGCAACCCAAATACTTTCTTTTCCAGGGAGTAAATTCTCGTAATCCTAGAAGGCCCCCTCCTAGTTCGGTCAATACAGGAGGCATAACTGAGATCATGGCTGAAGGAGGAGAGCTAGAATTTGTCAAGAGAATCATTCATGATAGCTTGCAACTTAAAAAAAGATTAAGGTAAGAAGTTACATTGAATTAAAAAGCACTGATATTTAGTATAAACTGTATGTATTTCAAGAAAAGCAAAAAAGACACACACACGACAGGTCGTCCATTTGAAAAAGGTTGGTTCCAAGAAAAAGAGCCATCCCAATACGTCCAGTCTATAGTTTCTTCTACTGATATAGAAATATATTTCCTTTACTTGAACTTTATTTCCCATTACTTGGTTCTGAAATTTTGTTTTCCTTATTAAAGGTGGTATAGTTGTATGTTGGGAAAGAAATGCAGTTTGGCACCATTGAAAGAAGAACTACGAATCCATGGAGTAAGTAGTTCTTTAAGGACACTATTGTTATCTGTTAGTTAACATTTGTGACTAGACTGCCACTTAAATAAAGTTACATCTTGAAAAAAATAGTCTTTCACTAGCTTTAGTTAAAACAATAAAAGCTCCTAATAAGAAAAAACAGTAACTCTGATACTCTTTTTTTTTTATTGAAAATTTTTAAACGTTTTACAATATAACTCCCCACCTCCCTCCAACCCCACCCCCCTCCCTTCCCCCCAACTTCCCAGAGCTACACACAGGGTTTACAATACAATAATTATACTCTGTCTTAAATTATATTACCCTTAAGTTAACAATTCTATAACATCCTTTAGCTCTCTCCTAAACTAACATGTTAAACATCATTATTACAAATTATTTAATTTTAATAAAATACCCTACATTAACAATCACAAATTTACTCAAAAACCAAATGAANACTTTTTAGTTCCATATTTATTCTCAATATAATCTATCCATCTTCTCCAAACCAATATATATCTTTCTTGTGGATAATCCTTCACATAGGCTGAGATCTTAGCCATTTCTGCTAAATTTGAAACTTTAAATGCCCAGTCTTCTATAGTGGGCAAACAATCCGTTTTCCAACATTGAGCTATTAATAATCTCGCAGCAGTATCAAATTCAGCATCAATTCCATTTCTTTTTTATCCAAATTTTCCATAATACCCAACAAAAATAGCTGAGGCTTAAACTTTATCTTTTTCTTAAAGACATTTTGAATGTTCCACCAAATCTTTATCCAAAATGCTTTAACCACCCTACAAGTCCACCACACATGGAAATAAGTTGCATCTAAGTTTCCACATCTCCAACACTTAGGTTGTAAATTAGAATACATACGAGACAATTTTTGAGGATCCAGATGCCACCTATAAAACATTTTATAAAAATTTTCTCTTAAATTCTGTGCTTGAATAAATTTTACATTCCTAATCCAAATTGTCTCCCATGTCTCCAATAAAATCGGCTCTTCTATATTTTGAGCCCATTTTATCATACAATCCTTCACCAGTTCTGTTTCCGAATCCAGTTCAACCAATACACCATAAATTCTTTTTATATGAGCTTGAGATTGATCTCTAATCTGTTTAATCAAATTCACATCCTATACTGTAATACCAACTTTTTGATCCAAACACCACCTCATAGACAATTGGCTATAGTAAAACCATGAGTATTCAATATTCTCTTGTTTCAGATCTCCCAGAGATTTAAGTTGCCAATCTTGTCCTACCGGCAAAAGTAATTCTTTGTATGAGACTTTATCCAATTTAACTCCCCTAGATATCCCCTCTATCATCTGTCCTGGACTTGTCCAGATTGGAATCTTATAATTTAATCCATAATAATACTTCTTCCAAACTCGAAGTAAAGCACTTCTCAAAATATGAGCCTTAAAAATTCTATCTACTTTTTTTATCATAAATTAAATATGCCTGCCAACCAAATAACAAATCCCATCCTTCAAGAGAAAGTATATTTCTATTTGTCAAATTTAACCAATCACTAATCCATGTCAAA